GTTTTACGTCATGGAAAGGGGTAACTCTTTACTCTTCCATTTTACAAGTACCTGTATGATTTACGTCATTGAAAGGGGTAACTCTTTATTCTTCCATTTTACAAATACCTGTATGTTTTACGTCATGGAAAGGGGTAACTCTTTACTCTTCCATTTTTCCAGTTCCTGTATGTTTTACGTCATGGAAATGGGTAACTCTTTATTCTTCCATTTTACAAATACCTGTATGTTTTACGTAATGGAAAGGGGTAACTCTTTACTCTTCCATTTTACGAGTACTTATATGTTTTACGTCATGGAAAGGGGTAACTCTTTACTCTTCCATTTTACAAGTACCTGTATGTTTTACGTCATGGAAAGGGGTAAATCTTTATTCTTCCATTTTACAAGTACCGGCACTTTCTACAAAAAACCACAAGTTGATTTCTTCCATCCTGATTGTATCGTTTAGATGACACAAGCTTTATTCCGATTGTTTCAAATCTGACTGGAATGTCACATTTTATCCATAATTTCCTTCCATGTAACACCGTACTTTCTAATTGTGATCAAACAACTTTTCGTTTTACGGAGATACCTTTTTATGTATTCATTTTCAAAATTGTGGTAATTTTAGAGTAACTTAAACAGGAAATGGTGATAAATCACGAATACACATTTGTAACGCGTGTCCAGCTCCCTGCCCCTCACCCGCATCCCATTTAACGTTAATGATCCTTTAGCCAGAGATGTCCAGTTATTTGTAACAGTCTTTCCATCGTCTTTTTGGCTGAGGGCTAGCATCAGGTGTAAGCCGGTCAATGGGTGCTTATAGTCATTTCCACGGATAATTTAAACTTAATATTATTTGTCTGTGTTGTAAACAATGTTCCATGACCATACATTTCTTCAAAGGGATTTTGGCTTTACGTTTTGTGCACTCGTGAAATATAGCTGAACTGCAGACATTTAACGTCTTTCCGGTCAAAATCTCTTCCCCAAAATCAATGGACATATGTATGATAACGTGTAGAAGAGTGTTCTAACAGTGACAAACTGCTGAGGTCAACCTGAATGAGGAATTTATCTTACCAATATAGAGGACTAGACTGGACCTGATAGGTATATCTATCTTCATGCTTTCATTAAAAGATATGGAATTTATCATACAATTTATGATGAAGGACGTATTTAATATTAAGTTTAACACCTTTCACCTTGAAAGCCAGAGGATAAAATTTCAAAGGCGAAATTAAATAACCAAAACACAGTTAAGAAATATAGTAAAGATATTGGCATAACTAGGAAAGATAAGTTAGGCATTTTTGGTCATAATATTTTGATGTACGTCTTAAAATATATTTTAAGGGCCTTGTTTCATTCATTGATTTCTACCTAGCCTCAATCTGAATGGATATGTACTGAATATGCTGGTTCAACGCCGGTAAAAGAGGTCTAACTGTATGGATAATGGTTTGCCCATCACTATTGTAGTGGTAACCTGGGCGTTCGTTGGGGGTGTCTTAAATTGATAGCAGTACATCAGCGGTCTGAGAGAGGTTTATTGATGGACACAGACATCAAACGCTGGTCGGAAACCCGATTCCAACTTTGTTTATTTCCATCGTTTTACCTCTTGGTAGCACTCTTCCCATTGGATACAAGAGTAGCACTCGGCAATCTGATCAGCTTTGTTTAAAAAACCGTTTTACAACATTTCTGCAAGATAAGCATAGTTTAGGTATTAACATTTATTTAATAAAAATTGAATGTAATTTCAAAAACTCAAATTTAGGAGATTCCTTTTTTATCTGTTTTGCAGTTCGTTTTAATTTGACATTTGAAAGATGCTTTGGAAACTATCAATGCCTGTACCATACATTGCAATGTTAGGGCTACGTTGAACCAACTACTGTTCGCCGAGAGAGCGGTTTGATAAAGAAACATGTTCGTGTACACTGATTTGTTTGAAAGACACCTGTAATCTGTTTTGAAAAGAGTTTGTAAGCTCAGTATCAGCAGCACAATCAGTCAGAGAAAACACCCTCTTGTCGTCGCGTGCTCTCACGTGCATTCATGGTCTAATGGAATAGTACTTAAAGCTGGAGTTAATCTCTATAGCGTAGATAATGCTTCGTCTAATTCTTAAATTATGTCATACCCCGTCAACACCCACACTTAGGACTACTACCAAGTTATAAAAAAGAGGCATTCCGAATTCCAATTTACTCCGTCCACTTGTGTTTATTGGAGTTGAAGCACGTGATGTGTTGTAAATAGGACAGCGCATCCCTGCTGATCTGTATCTCTTCTGTCTTCTCATATAAATGTAAAGTTTTAAACCATTTTAATGCCAATCAGTGACGGTCCCTATCCACTTCCGTTACCAAATATGTGCACTAGGTGACCTCCATTGTCGACCATTTTAGTTCAGCTAAGTTTGAATTGATTCCGTCTGCAAATGTCCGCCTCTCAGGAAATGCAAATATGTTTGCCCCTTCATAAAAAAGTATTGATTCTTTCGTATGTTTTTGTTATTTGTAGAAGATAGAGCTTATCTTGAAACACTAATTATTTCAATAATGCGGTAAGTCAAATCTAATCACAGACGCAATAAGTGGAATTATTAAAATGAGATTACTTCTTGTTCATTATTCGTCTCTAAAGCAGGAGTTAAGAAATCCGATAATTTCTTTCGCTTTTTCTGACGTTTTTGGCAATCGCAGTATGCCACTTTCAAAATAGATTAAATAACGTTGTGCACTGTGTTAGCGAGGTCGACCTGTATAATACATACCCTCAGTTGTACTAGTCTGTCAATCATACCAGAGACTCGGATGGGTTCTCAGGGAGCGGTTCATGCATCAATCACCGAAAAGATGTTGCGTGGTTGATTCTTAAGACAGTTAGTGAGATGGACGAGATGATTAAGCCACCTTCTGTCATATCACCACCATCATCGCCATCACCATCTTTTAACGGGTATATGTTTTTGTTTCCGACAAACATTTTCACAAGTTATAATAATTTTCTTTTAAGGTGTAACATCATATTCCCACGCATCACTCTGCTCTATAGGTACCACTCTATAAAGAAACTTAAGCCTTTAACGATGTTGGCAAACATGCAATTCTGTTCCTCACATGAGGAAGAAATGTGTTAAGTAGCTAGATAATATTTAACTTTGTTGTTTATCGTACAACAACGATGATTTGTTAGGAGTAATTGTTACATATGATCATGGTGTATTTTATTGTCTGCACCCTTCAAATAACAATCAGTTGTGTACAATTAATCCAGAGGTGGTCCCAAAGAACTGTTCTTTTAAGTTCAATCTAGAATGTTAAGGCACTGATATAATTAATGGAATATTTCCTTAAAATGTGCCTATATTCTAGCTGCCTCCCCAACTAGCCACATTTTCTTTGCACGGAAATCGCTGTGTCATCGGGCATCCATTGTCGTTTTTCGATTGTTACGTGATACGTGCTGACTTAGAAACTTTAGGATGTATGCTACCTAAGTTTGACTAAGAAACTTTAGGATGAATGCTACCTAAGTTTGACTAAGAAACTTTAGGATGTATGCTACCAAGTTTGACTTAGAAACTTTAGGATGTATGCTACCTAAGTTTGACTTAGAAGTTTTAGGATGTATACTACTTAAGTTTGACTTAGAAACTTTAGGATGTATGCTACCTAAGTTTGACCAAGAAACTTTAGGATGTATGCTACCTAAGTTTGACTAAGAAACTTTAGGATGTATGCTACCTTAGTTTGACTTAGAAACTTTGGGATGTATTCTACCTAAGTTTGACTTAGAAACTTTAGGATGTATGCTACCTAAGTTTGATATTCATTTCAATACCAAAAGAGTTCATCACACCTTTCGAGAGCGGTGTATGGGTTTCGGCAATGACACCATTCATGAATGGTAATTGTGTACCTTGTTGATAATTTGATTACCCCGAATGCTTACAAAAACAAGTCATAGATACCACCTTGGTAAATTAGAACTGTTCTTTATAAATGAGAGAACTAACACTCACGCATAAAAGGTGTACGGTAGCATATATTCTTAAACCTGCACTAAGCGTTATTTCTATGTTATTTACGTAATTATCCCAACTCAAAACATTATTTTCGCGTTCTTGGATCAACAGTGAGGTATATCACTTAGAATTATAGAACACAAGATCAGCCTTATGTTATTGTAGATGTTTGTACAATAATTATCATTTCAAAATTTGGAACCTGAAGGACAAACAGAATAACAACAGAAAATCATGTTGATATTGACACTTTCTTGGATAACTATCATTCACAAGGTCGACGAACTGAAGTACAGTAGTGCTATATCCGTCACTCGTTGTCTCACTGTATGATGTTTATTGGTATTGTTGTCTGATATATATCAAGTGACCTATCTCTTATTGTGACCTTTATTTGTATTGTCGTATGCTATATCAGGTGACCTATCTCATATTGTGACCATTATGTTTAATGCTGTATGCTATATCAGATGACCTATCTCATGAGTATTGTGACCATTATTTGTATGCTTATATCATATATCAGGTGACCTATCTCTTATTGTGACCGTTATGTGTATGCTTGTATCACATATCAGGTGCCTATCTCTTATTGTGACCATTATTTGGATTATTGTGTGCTATATCAGGCAACCTATCTCATATTGTGACCATTACTTGTATGCTTGTATCATATATCAAATGACCTTTCTCATATTTTGACCATTATTTGTATTTTTGTATCATATATCAGGTGACCTATCTCATATTTTGACCATTATTTGTATAGTTTTTATATAAGGTGACGTAACTGATATTGTGACCATTATTTGTATTGTTGTATGATAAATGTAAGGTGAGGGTCGATACAAACACCCGTATCAAGGCGTCAGCAGATACAAAAACTAGCCATGTTTTATCAGGTTTGGATGATTCATCCATTACCTTGTTGTCGCTTGACTTATCATGTCTTTTCTCACTCTTTTTGCAGGGGGCTTTGCAAGATGTAAAAATAGTAACACAGGCACACGGTTATCTGTTACAGTGCCCACAACAAGATACTGGTACGTATTGTTTTCTAATTCCTATTTAACTGTCGGAGATAAGCACATACCATTCGACCACCTTATAGAGGTTATGTTTAGTTCTACGCATGTGGCGAGCAAATGTATCACTTCTAACAAGCACAAGCAATTGTAACTTTCCAACTTCTTTATTTCAATATGGCTGATACCATTTCGGATATTTTATCAATCTATTTTTATCTAACGTATGTTTAAATAACCAGGGTATTACAATTACACTGAAATGAGTTACACTATATGTTCTTCCTTATGTATCTCAATTCGTACAACATTTCACAATGATAAGTATTGAAGAATTATTTTGGGAATTGGAATTTGGACTTGTGTAATTTTGTAAGAATGCTTGTTGTGATAATACTCTGATAACTTACCGTAATTAACTGCTATTATTAGAGAAAAAGGGAAGGGCGACAATTCTCACACGCGAGTAAGATGGTATATAAAATCAATTGATTAACTATTTGATGTTTGCATATTTCTGTGAATGATTTTCTATTTGTTGAAAAAAGTAACACGAAATTGTACATGTTTATTGGCGGAAGGTGTTCATAATTTTCATTTCAAATCAGTTTTATTGTAACAATTGGACTACGCTATATCTAATATGCTAATATATGATATTTTCTATATTATACATTATGTAATTTATTGAAAAGTACTTTTTTTATTCAAATAAACATGGTTTTACGCGTTTACTTGCGACGAGTATATCGACAAATATCTTCTTTTATCTCTATGCGAATCGAGACAGAATACATTTGTTCACCACAGTAGGAATCGAGACTGGCAGATTTCGTTATTAAATCATTATTTCTGATCACAAAATGTAAACTTGCATTGAAAAATGTATTGCCAAAAACGCGTGGAATGTCGGGGAGGAGATTTGGGTCACTCTACCAGATTACCCTTGCATTCTCCTGGCAGGTTGAGAAATATCTATGCTACTTTGCAAAACAAGATACACTGTACAGCTTAAACCAACCTTGACGCTATAGTGTTTGTGGATTACGTTTGGAAAAACATTAAAAGAAGTGTAAAACATAACGCCCAAGGCAAGTTAAGATCAATTTTGAATCAATCTGCTGGCAATGGGTTTCACAAGTGTTATATAACCCAGAAACGACGTGTATTACATAGCGATAAAAAAGACAACAAATTTCATAGAACGTATTCAGAGGAAATCAAAGCTAATTGGATTTGCGACTTTAATGTTTTAAAGTGATTAACTCTTGCCCATTTTCTTTCAGCTTGTCCTACATGTGCGCAGTATCAAGCACTTGAACAACAAGTCAAAAATATGTATTCCTTGTACCAAAATCTATCCCTGAAGGTAAGTGTCAGGTTTTCACTAGTTTAATAATGTTCATGAGTATAAAAAATAAATCTTATTATTTTCTCAACTTCTTACTTGGGGACAGTGCCAACAACAAAAGTGTGGCCTTAATTTCCATAAGTATACGACTTGGTATCTGTTCGCGAGCAGTACATTTTTTATTGCCGTTTCAGCATTAGGTTCTAGAACCATCTAGCTTACCAATACAAAAGGTAATTGAGAATCATCGTGTGTGCGTGTGGTTGGGAAGTGATGGGTTCTGGTAAGGAAATAAATAGGCGTTGATATTTGGTGAAAATCTATGGAAAGAACAGAAAACTGTTAATAATTATATATGTGTATCGTGGCTACTCCGGCAAAATGGCAACACTGGCAAAATGGCAACACTGAAAACACACTTAGAACCTCTCAAATGACAGAGTGGTTTGGCTTCAACACTGCTTTACTGCCAATACAAAAACTGGTCTGATATGACAGAGCAGAAATTATGTTGAAAATCCATGTAGACATTAAGAGGCTATGGGGATGATACACATGATTGATCCTACTTTATCCGATGATACACATGATTGATCCTACTTTATCCAGGAGTGTGTAGTAAAGGGAAGTAGGAAGTTACACTTGACAAACATGGGGATGTATACATTCTGACAAAAAATGTAACACAGTATTGTAGTTTTATCTATCATATGAATAGGTCATTGTCATTAGTTTTTACTATTATCCTCACAAATCGTAGGTTTCGTTTTCGGGAAAGACATGGAAGCATTTTTTCCGTGATATCTGCGGTGTCAAATTTTTCTGACCAGTGCTATCGTCGCCAGTTAACACCATACAAAAATGTCATTTCGGGAAATTTCACTTTTAACATATATTTCAAACACGTGTCTGGCTATTTATTGTCATGCGGTAATATTGTCTTCTTCTGAGTTGGTATTTTACATGTCAATTTTATCTGGTTTAGCTTCTGCGAGCAGAAGAGAAAATCTTTGGTTTGGAACAGTGTGAGTGCCTAAAGAGCTGTTCCCAGAATGGAACGTTACGAAAGGAGGGAGAGGTGTGGCAGCTAGACCAATGTACAGTGTGCCGGTGCGCGGTAAGTTGAACCAATCACGTGCACAGTTTCACCGTGATTGTATTTTACTTCTAAGCTTTATAACAAGTATGTCTCGCAATTCAACCAACAGCTGTTTTGAGGTACATTGAGAGACCGACTGCATAACAGATATGTCTTGTTCACGCTTGAAATGTGAAAATTTCTATTAAAGCGAACCTTGTAAATGTTTCCGGCTACTACAAGCTTAAACAATACTAGATATACTAAATATAAGATCGACGGGAAAGCATTTCCGTCTACTATTTCATTAATTTATTCTTGTTCATGTGTAGTTAATGACTAGTTTTATATAACAACATACATATGATGCATTTACTGCTGTCTAGACGTAAAGAGTAAACTAATCTGCTACTCCTTTCCAGAACGGAACTGTTGAATGTCAGAAGGTGGATTGTCCGCCCGTCCGATGTGAGAATCCTATCTACCGAGACGGAGAGTGCTGCCCTATTTGTCTCAGTGAGTCATACCTTAGTTGTCTCCCATGCCTATGTTTGCATTTGAATCCCTGTTTACAATCGGTTTTGACGTTGCTGACGCCAGCCACCTTGTCATACTGTTCCTTCAAATGAACCAGATATTCTTCATAATATTGTATTCTCTTTCTGTTTTCTATAAGCGAAAATAATTAAACTAATAAGTGTGATTTTTCAAACTTGATATAACAAATGACCTGTCGAAAATGTATCTTAGAAATGTTAATGTGTTTAAAAAATCTGTAATGCTATTCTCTTAGCGAAGTAGAACCCAGACAACTTTTCCATGTCGATTTGCATTTTGGTCGTTCTTGGCAAAAGCAGGTTGTATAATTGTCAGGAAAATCGATATAGTCCTCTTTGAAGAAGCATTAAACAACACTTCTGAGAACCCTTGTTTTGCATATCACTGTTGCATATTGCGGTAAAGGTTTTGGCACACGTGGTCCCGCATAACATATAGCGTCACCTTGCTTGCCAAGTTTCATTGAATGCCACTGCCAGTTAGATGTTGGATGTGGGATAATTCACCGATTGTCAGAGTTTAAATAAAATGTCTATAAATGCTTAGATTGGCTGTTCCTGATGCAGAATGTTACACGTGGTTTTTTTAAATGACTTTGCAAGTTGAAACATGGAAAGTGTTTCTAATTAACGCATTTAGTAAAAAAACATTATTGTTAAGAAGTCAAAATATTGACTGCTTAGTTAATATTGCAATGCTGTTTCACAATTTAAATAAATCTTCATCCAGAAAAAAATAAATCAAAAAAGGTGTTTCTTGGATATATAACATATGAATCAGATCAGGACTTATTTGGAGTTTGTCAAAATGTATAATATACATGTACTCGGCGGATTTTATTAAAAAAACTAGGGTCTTATTGGAGGTTCAATGACGTATTTCCGTTTGTTTTGATGTCTCAAAATGTTACTGTTTTCCACTATTTTTTCGATTTTTGAGTTCGGATTGTCTTTTTGTGATGACAATGTAGCAGTTTATGATTTTATGTATTATTTTATTAAAAAGATTCTTTAAAATTTCATCTAATCCCATATCTTCTTATGTAGGGCCTGCTGACAACCGATCTGATGCAACACTTACAATACAAATACACGTTGGTTATTTTACTGTTCATGACGTTTGAAAAAATAAAAACAAAATAAGCTTGCAACACGTTTTGCATACAAACATTTTCAAATATTTAAACAGTTACACAAAGATAGAACCGACTCCGATGCGTTTTCATTTATATTCATTTAGGAAAACAAAATATACAGACGATTGGGAGACACCCAAGTGTCTGTGAGATAAAACCATTATCATCCACAGACAGTGTTACGTTGCTGCGGCACCCAGCTGCCGTAACCTAGAGCTTGCCGCAGTCTGATTTATTACAAAGTCCATGTGTCTCCTTATATCAAATCCGTAACTGGAAAAATCATATTGCCAATAAACTCTATAGAAGTAATTAGTAACAGGCTGTTCGTTCATTAGATGCTGTATTGAATCCATATGCTGATAACCTGATAGAGAAATGAAAGAATCTTGAGGTCAGCTAATTTGCTGTGCATTGTTAAAAACAGCAAGAATAGAATATTTTGAACAAACATACTCGCATATTTTCACATTTCGCCTCGTCTTGAGTATTCGTCTGTATTTTAAATGCAAATGTCACCACAAAAGTTCGTTCAGCATTCGATAGGTTTTCTTTTTGTATCTCCGTACGTAACTTATTCAATCACATCCGCTGTTCATATTTTTAAAAGACGTTGTACAATTCAGCCATATATTAGAAAACTGTTGCATCAAATATTACCATTAAACAAACAAAAGTATTCAAATATTTGATCTTAAACATGGATGTGTTGGCTTAAACAGTCATCGACTGTCTTCGATCTAGCATGACTCATCGTTTGGTTATCCAATAATGGCTTGTCTTGACTGTGATTTTTGTGACGAAAGACAAGAACGAAACATATACTTCTAATGAAGTTCTATATGAATTTATATACAGTGATGTGCACACATTTTACTATTGTTTATTTTACAATTATGTTTAAACATACTTATACGCAGTATACTGAGCATGCGAGTTGTGATTGATGAGAACAATGTTGTATAATTTTCCTCCTACACCTTTTCTATCTTTATATAATTCTTTGACATATGTACAAATATTCTCATTTGTAATGTATTTTTCTTTCAGCCAACTGTTTCTACAGCGGGAAATATTACGATCATGGCCAATCTATCAACCCGCGTATGTGTGTCACTTGTACATGTGATGTAAGTATATTTGATTTATATTCTTCGAACTGGCATTCCTGTCATTGTTTTGATACTGGTACTTAATCATATTTGCTGTGAACCGATTTTCCAAACTCATAGAACAAATGCGCACGTTTCAAGTATGACATAATTCAAACGTATCCCTCCCTGTTAGGATTCTCCCCAGATAAACATAAAAATACTGTTGAAGTCAAGTTGTCATTGCTGTTAGGATATTAACACAACAAATTACAATGGTAGCTTATGAAGTTTAAACAGAGAAAGAAAGGACTATCTATTAACGTAAATGGTTACCTATGTGAATACGAATCTGTTTTTATTCAGACTAGCAATTCTATTTACGAAATTCTGCGGCTTCCACCGATTATTTGACTGAAGTTAATTAAAGCAGTCATCTGCTTATGAGGGTACACACTGTCTCGCTGCATGTAAATAACCTTGATTGTTTTATTTGTTTGCCTAACACACGGTACTGGGGTCTTGTAAACAGATTTGTAAAAAGTACAACTGGCCCTCGATATTACTAGCAATAATGCGAGGCGTTCGAAACCCTAACTCAATTTGAGTAAATCCATAAACAACATCAAGAAACTCACCAGGAATGTTCATTGACGGCTTCAAAGTAGCTGCTCAAACTTGCCACATCAGCATGTTTCATCCAGGTATTTACCTATATGCTAGCATAGCCCGATACCATACCGATGTAGTCGACCTCACCATGGTAAAGGCTTCATGCATGCATACGAGATAAATCACAAAGGAAATATACTAAAACAGGGTTTTATTCACTTAGTAAAAACGTTTATTACCTACATATGATTTCAGTGGGATGGGAACAAAAGCTAAAAGCTTAGATAAATTCCTTGTCAGAGTATGCATGTAACATTGCGAAAAGACATAAAAGTTATGTGGAAGACAACATGTAACACGGCGAAAAGATAAAAAAAAAGTTATGTGGACGACAACATGTAACATGGCGAAAAGACATAAAAGTTATGTGGAAGACAACATGTAACATGGCGAAAAGACATAAAGGTTATGTGGAAGACATCATGTAACACGGCGAAAAGTCATAACAGTTATGTGGAAGACAACACGTTACACGGCGAAAAGACAAAACAGTTGTGTGGAAGACAACACGTTACACGGCGAACAGACAACAGTAAACAGGGTTTTATTCACTTATTAAAAAGGTTTATTACCTACATATGATTTCAGTGGGATGGGAACACAAGCTTAAAGCTTAGATAAATTCCTTTTCAGAGTATGCATGTTTACACGGTGAAAAGACATAAAAGTGATGTGGAAGACAGCATGTTACACGGCGAAAAGATAAATATATTTTGAAAACGATAATCCTTCAAACCTAAAGTAAGCGACTTGAAGGAAATAAATTGAAAATCCATACGACTCGATTGGAAATTGGAACTAAAGGTGGCACAAATATGACGATTCCTTCAAAAGCTTGACCTGTTCCATTTGTGTAGTATGTGGTGATACGGACATTGTCTTATAATCTCATTTCTGTTTCAAAATTGACGGCTGTATACAATTTTGCTAAATTGATTAAGCACAAACAGGCGGAGTAAATGAAAAGAAAACACATTTGTGTTGCTGCATCAGTGTTTCGTCATGAATTGCGGAATGCCGGTGGTTAGTTATTCTTGAAGAAGTCGTAAGTTAGCCCGACATTATCGTCATCTCCTGAGTGCCAAGACACTTCATTCCTGTGTTCCTTACAATGAACGAGAGCAGTAGCAGAATGGTTTTCGACTTTAAAGATTACTTAACTGAAGTCATAATGCTTAAGGGATATAATCATTAGTCTAACAAGAACAAAAAATGCCAATTGTTCATCAAATATGTTTTAAAAATGGAGAATTTTTGAAGTGTTGGTATGTACGAATATTCCCCAAAGTGAAACGCGGTAGGGCCTCCTGATTTCTTGCGTCTAGTATCGGAACAATGTTGTTTTGTAATAATAGTGGAAGAGAAAAATAAATTTCACATTGAAAGTAATGTTAAGTCTTGTTCATTGAGTGGATATAAAAAAAAGTTTTTTAATGAATGAAAAAGAAGACGAATCAGGCTTGTTTGAATATTAATTGTGACGTACTTTTTAACGTACAAAATCGACGAAACAAGGAGAACGTCGATCACATTTGTTGTTGGAAAACGAGTGCCATATTTGATGAATGTAGCAACATTTAATTAAGACTAAGGATAGTGCTATTTAAGTGGCATCGGTATGAAATCACAATTTAAAATTTTCGTCAATTCTTTCGAGACATATATTTTGCATTGACATCATTTTAAGGTGTTTAATTTTATTTATTTCCAGGGAAATGCTATTGGAGTCTACATTCCATCCTTATTATACGAACACTCATAAGAAACTCTGAATACAAAAGATGATAATGGAAAAGAATCTGAAATCTCACTGTTTGCTTCTGTTGTTATCTTATATATGTGCTGCTTGCATTTCCCTCGCACTTTAGACCCCATGGTACGTTTATTATTTTTCGTTCAAAGATATACACATAATGTGATAGTCATATGCGTAAGAAGGGAAACTATTCATAAAATAATAGTCACTTTTCTTTAACTTATATAGAGATTTGGCTTTTATCACCTTTGCGACCCAAGCATTTTTGCCTCCAACATCGATTTCGGAAATCGAAATATGGATGTCCAGTGCGCCTAATCCGGAATATCTTGTGTTCAGTTTACTGTATTTATAGCGATATTGATCATGCTTTATAAATTGATCTCTTTACAGGACGGACGGATGGCATGCACTAAAGTGGACCCCGAGACAAACTGTGAAGTTTTAAACTGCCCCGTTGAAAAACAACTGCATATCAAAGATGAGTGCTGCCCTGTATGTGAAGGTGAGCACCAGACACTCTCACTGTTCTACAGCCAGTATTTTCACGATGATTGTGGCGATAAGAGCAGCTTCGGCTTTCAGTTTACAGCTAGCAATTTCAAAAACGCATCAAATTAAATATAATTTTAAACCAATGACATATCGTGAAGGCGTCTAAAATTGGGAATCCTGACCTGTCCTTTTCTTTTGTTTGGATTCCCACCATACTGTTGGTTTTTTAAATATATATCGTATGACAATGTTTTTTACCGTTGAACACTGTATGATTTATTTGCTTCGACACGTCCTATTGTGTTAATATTTAATCAAAATTTCTGGTATTACGGTCATTCGAAATCAATTTGTTATCATAAGTTGTAACTTCTTTAAATTTTAGGAACTGATTTCTGCTCCAAGGGACACGAATGTCATGAAAACGCCGTGTGTGTTAATATGGCCACCCGTTATGGCTGTCAATGTAAAATTGGTTTTACTGGTGACGGACATCATTGCGAAGGTAACTATCTTTATTATTACCATATTAGTATAAAATTCTATTCTTAGCACCTCGGCATATTATCTTTCAGCAATTTTAATCAAAATTATCGAAATGTGTGCAGCATATTTATTCATTTTTTATTATACTTCCACAGCATTATTGTAATAATTTTTACACCTCCTACTTCTAGTCTATTTGAACGTTTTCTGTCGTTCATCAGTTGCCTATTATTTTTTACTTTTACTTTCAGATATTGATGAATGTCAAGTCAAAGGTGGAAAGCGTGGCCATCATTGTAATGGGAACACAAAATGCATCAATACGATTGGATCGTACACGTGTAAATGCCCGTCAGGCGAAACCCCAGCAGACCCCTACAAGTGTGAAGGTATTCACACGTCCTCTTCACCTACAATCCTAAACATGTCACTATCATCACTGGCCGTGGCGTTCCTGCTACATCAGTGCCTTATATATTATCATCTACATGTTTCCTAACAATAGCTCTGTCGCCATGTTTTTATGTGAACAATGCCCTGTTTTCGTTTTCTTTGTTCGTCACTTCCTTTCTCTTTTTCTATATTAACGTTTCTTTATTGACTTTAAAAGTGAAAATACATGTTTTCTTAAGTTATCACTAAGTGACATATTTAATTTTGTTTAAAACTAAATCTTTTCTATGAGTCCAGTTTGCCAATATATATTATAGCTTGCTGGCGTGGATTGTAATATACATCTAGCTGTCCATTTAAGTAAGTAGGTTCTATAAATATAGTTTTATTAATAAAGTATTATTAAGTTTGAACAATTTAGGCGTAGATATTGCCATTCAAGCAAGTTTTCGTCTTGATGTCGGTGTATACATTTTAATGTATATGTTGCAAGCAAGCAAATGTGCATCGTCGATTTGAACGACCATCTCTGGTCAGTTCGTTAAGGTATGACTTGATACTTATTTATATTGTCTTGTGATGGTGTTACAGAGGCATTGTTCCATTCATCAACTTTCCATTATAGTAGTTCGCTTGATGGCGAATTATAAAATATAATATTCCAATTGAAATGAAAATAGAAATATATATATTAAGTCATTATGATAATGTCAACTATTGATCGATATGTGACCGACGTGGTTTTTAAGGTGTAATTATTGAATGGAAACAGAGAGTGTGACGGGGAGAAAGGGAGAAAGACAGAAAACGGTGTAAATTTTATTTGTAAATATTCAATTCGTTGTTGTTAAAATGTTGGTTAATGTGAATGGTTGATTAGCACAAAGTGATCACGTGATTATTCATGTACCACAAAATCAAAACCGTCATGGTGACATGGTGAGAATGATGTTATGAATGATTGTGATAATTGTGATTATGATGATTAATTTTATGTGATAATTTAAATGTAGTGTAAAAGGATTTGTCATACTCATTGCTCGAATGGAAAAGAGAAGAAACATATATGTATATTTATTTACATGTATAATAATGGTGAGCGAGAAAGATAAAACAGTATAGTCATGAAAATTATCAAATGAGAAAATACTTTTTCTACCTCTGGAAAATCGGCTGTAGGTTTTATTACAAAATTGGTTAATAAATCCCATTTCCTACAATCTGAATTGGTATCGTTGTCTATTTATAGTTATAGAGTGACATAAATTGTAGGAGAATTCTTTACTTAGACTGAGCAGGCATACCTTACTCGTGATATTACTGACGTTCTCTATGTATTGGTCGAAATACTCTAATACAAAAGATATGTTAACCGACAATACATTCAGTTTTGAGTATTTGAATCTTGCTACTTTGTCAAATTACATTTCCCCTATGATTTATTTCAAATGATAATCTAAGGAAACTTATAAAAATCAATCTCAATGCAAAATAGATATGCCTGATCTGTCAAAGTACGCATCATTCTGTTTTCAGAATATTAATATTTACAAACTCAATGCATCTTAGAAATGAGAGCTCGAAAGTTATATTTTTATCAAAAACAGAAGAAATGAAACCTCCAAAGTACGCTTGTTAAATTCCGTTTCAAACCACGTCACTATTTTTAGTAAATTTCTTGCGATGAAGGGGCATGCATAGTTCTGCCATTTGGAAGAAACAAAGCGCAATTATCACCTTTTTTAATGTATCGGAATTTCTGCGTTACCCTTTTTTGCATATTTCGGTTTGTAATTGTAAACGGTCCCACAGCTGTTTATCAAAATTGTATAATTGCCTTACTTCAAAAGATGTATTTTCATGATGCATTATTATGCAAATTACATGTAGGAAATTGGATTATTTTTCAATTTACAGTTGATTTTCCAGAGATGATTGGAAAACATATGATATATTACAATAATTCAAAACATTTCCTATTGTTATATAAAAGGTGATAAAAACGTCTCCATTTCCGGCTCTGCATGTCGAACTTTCATCGTTTGAGATCTTGAACCAATATGATACTTTGAGATTCAGTTGACTTCAAACTAAATTCAGCACAACCTCGGGTACTGTTCTGACATGGGAAAGTCAGAAACCAATCAAGTCACGGTTAATATTCCATTACTACAATGATTTGTTGCAATGGAGCATTTGCCATACTGTTACAAAAAACTTAAATTGAAACAGAAACAAATATGTTTTATAAATGACGTTGTGTGTACGCTGCAGTAAAGTTACTTTTGTTTTTACAATGTTCTAACATAGTATTCGCCGTTTTCTATTTAATGCGAAAGCTGACATCGTTGTTATTGAGATAGTATGCCTATATTTATATCATAAAGACAGGTTGTTAAGTTTAAAGTGATGAAGTGGAATGTAATACACACCATTGCTGATCATCCATCAGAATGTTATTTAATGGTGTAATTCTTGTTAATAACAAAAATGTTTGAACGAAATATTTTTCCTTACTGTTGTGATGGTTATTCCTGGTTTTCAACTTTAGAATTTTAGAAATTTTGTAAAGCAGGTAGTTTTAGATAAAATAATTTGTTTCTGTGGATCACAAAAGAATAATGGATACTCCCCAATACCAACAGAATGTAACTTTATACTTAACAAACCTACTAATAACATCTATGATCACCTCTTCTTTCACTTGTTACAATGGTTCTAGCATGGAAAAGTCATTTGTCCTCTTTCCAAAGCACGTGCACTATACAATCGGTCTGACCTTGGGGAGTTTGAATAAAACCTCAATCGGGTGATCGTTCAATCCGTGGGAGCCTGGAATTGCGAAATAGAAGTATACCTCACCTTCTTTATCCCCGACAGGCGTGCACAGTCGGTTTGGGAATCATTTACAAAAAGGCCAGACTTTCACATCGATAAATAAAGCCCGGTTAACATCATTACCTTCTGCAAGTGACTCTACATGAAAGACATTCCAAATGTTATATAACGATGCAGGCTTGTTCTCACTCGCCGATAACAAGTATCGGATTTTAATATTATTTCTGGATACCCGACCGGAATCGGTATAATTAAGAAATTAAATGTTAACGATAAGTGATAGGACATGCCTCGCTGGAAAACATTTAATGAAGTTCACCTGTGCTTGAATAAAATAAAAAGGCCATTAAACCCGTCTCACTACGCTACGTATTAGATATGGTTAGACTCTCGTAGATTCTGTTGGCACATTTCACATCTGAGCATAATTGAGTATAGTAGCTGGCTGGCCAGGTGAATGAAACTCAACATGGTGAAAGATTTCATTGGAGAAATGGAGGCTTGCTGTGTATCATACGTCATTTCATGATCTTAGGAAGCTGGCACGGAAGCTAGACACTGTTGGACACGGCATTGTTGCACCACAATATCAAAGAACGTGTATCAATTATGTATTAGATATACAGATGAACAGACGACATACTGAATGGAAGTTTGCAATTTGTCTGGGACAATAAAAGGGATTGACACAAAATGGAAAGACTTGGTCGACACACACTCCACTGGGATTACTGGTGTATCACTATACATATATGTTTTCAAATTGTTCTTGAAATTGACCTTCTCCTTGTAATTTTCAATCGTCATGATTAAAATTCTTACCAATCAATAATTGCAATGGGTCATGAAATAGGTAGTCCAAACATGTGTTGAAATGAGAAATAACAAATCGGAAGTTTAATATATATCTTCTCAGACACAGATAACATGTTAACTGGTAACCGGTGTTCATGATAGAAATTATTGCATAATATAAGCTGTCATTTTTGAGAGTCTTCCTGTTCCTACCCTTATGTAGGTAATTAAAACATTAATATACTTTAGTGCATGAAATTAACGTACAATTCGATAAATGGTCATGCGTTGAAAATATTGTTGATAACTAGTATCGCCATTATAATTGGCAATAGAAAATAAATCAAACAACTACCTTCTTGTGCAGGAAAGAGATTCGTCTGATTGTGATTACCAAACCTTTAAACATGTATCAGTATTACAATTAGTTAAAATGGTATAGAAACATGTTCTAACAATCATGATTGCACTTAATAGAATGTTAAGGTTGTATATCATTACATACGCCCATGTAAAATCACCTGTGTACCTTATGTCACAGAGTACCTTCTGATAAGCTAGACAGCTTGTTACAAACGTATGAAGACATATTCTTAAACAAGGGCAAAATAAAATTGTACATAATTACTTGGGAAGCCATTACGTCAATGGTTTAGTGAAGTTAAGAAGGAAAATGCTTTCAACTTTGAAGGACTGGATTCTATAATAAGTCGACACTTCGTTATGGGATTACCTAGTTTCTGTTTCCATGCCGGTAAACAGTATGTCTCGATCTAGGCCAGGCTTCCCCTCACACTTCCTTCTAACACTAACCATTGACATCGCTACTTAGGAAGCACACGCAATATAGTCGATGCTGCGTAACACGTGGATCGCCTTGTGTAAAGTCCTCTAGACTACGCCATCCATTTTAGTGGTATATTGCTTGTTTCCTGGCATTGATGGGTCCTTGACATGTTTCGCCCGGTCGGTAATCGACCTTTTCTGTCCGTATATTTCCTCTTCATTGATCCGCACGAGTTTTCGCAAAGTCATGATAACTAAAATCTAAGTGCAACACCATAAACAATTCAGAAAACGGCTATTAGAAACCAGTAATGCACTTGCCTCTTCGTCTTCATCGTCGTTTCTTCGATCATTGTATTTACTTATCTATTTTTGTCTACTATTCGTTAAATTGGGAAGTTAATTGAAATGTATTCCTTACGGCACAGCAATAATGTTTCCTAGATTTTCCCGTGAAAACGTGTACGTATGTCATGTACTGAAGCCGTGGTCTAATTGTTATTATCCAAAAGGTGATTTAAAACGTCACGCTAATAGGTGCTAGCAGATATAGAATAATACGACCTTTTATTATCGATTATATACAAAAAAAAATATCGATTATAAATATATTAAAATGCATTATATGAATGATATTTGGAACCGTCACAGGGACATTTAAAACGATATGTCGCTGTAGAATGATACGTACATAAGGGACTCCTAGCGTGCATATTTCATGACAATAATATTCGGCTAATCTTTATAAATGGCAAGATTAAAAAACGAGTGCAACACAACACCGATGGCGTATTTGAAAACTGTTACATAAATATTTGATACTGTTCGGTCAGTTTTATAAAATAATCTCTTATTTGCTAGCTAACTATGCTACAAATCACCGTTCTTAAGAGTTCCGCTCCTTGTGGTATATATTAAAATACTTTATATGAATGGTAGTTGGTAATTTGGAGCTAATTATCAGTAATAAATCTAAAAGGTAAACACAAACACGTACATTTATAACACTCGGATCATTTTAATTAGGCCGTTTTACCTATTAAATTATATGTAATTTATTGAAGGGAGATAACTGTTACACAAAACACATGTTATATGTATGGTAGCCTTAAGTACAAATTCAAATTCGTCAAAATTAAACTAACGTGACGTTTTTAATGAAACTCGAAATCTGTGTTCCTATTTCTGTTGGATTTATTACATACGTTTATTACCTGAAATAGTAAAACAAGCATTTCCAGTTGGCATTCTAGAGCTGTGCTGATTCAAAGCACATGCTAACCCTGCATGGTTAACGCATTTGTGGGACAGGTCATGTCACACAAATGTTTTACGGGTACGCTTGATCACTTATTATTGGAGTACTGCCTGAACAAAAATCAAACGTTTACACTACTACCAATTCATAGTATTGTATGTAATACAACAATATGCAACACAGCCCACCATATTTACCTAATAAATAGACACTATACGACGGAGATAAAAACAAACTTGTATATTATCTGAATACTCAAAAAGATGTAAAATGTCATTTTCGTTTTCGAGGGCTAAGAACGCTGAAAAAAGGTTTGCAAGAGAAAAATTATACAGACAGAAAATACAAGATAAACATTTTAATCATTAACAAATGAGCAACACCTGTATTGGATAACCTATCGACTACTCTTGGTATAATCAAAAACACAATTTGACCACAAAAGTATTGTAATCCTTTACGACCATCCGTTCTTAATGGTCTCATCGTAAATGGAACGAGATATACAATTACGGCATTAAAATCAGGGATATTTCAATTGCTTTAATTTTAGGAATTTTGTCTCGGAGTAATCGTTCTTTTATCACAAATGTACTATAAGTGCAGAAAAAACTTGGACCCATAGAGAGAGAAGGCATAATATTTAATCGCATGCGAAATAAGAGTATAGGTAAATCGCAGACGTATGTGCACAACTGCTGGGGGTATTAACACAGGTGAGACAACAAACGCTAGACTAAGATTAAACGACAAGACTTATATTTTTCTCTATCATAAAGTTTAAGTTTTTCATAATTCTACAACGGCATTGATTTCGTACTTTAAATCATAAATGTATTTGAACCTAATATCAAAGGTTGTGTTATCAAATATTGTATTCCTGAGTAGCTTGGTATTGTGTGTAGTGTCCTAATGTAAGCACTGAAAATTCTTATTTCAAGTCACATTTTTATAACGTCGATCCTATTTATGATCAAAAGATGGAATGGAAGTTTTCTAAAAAACAATATAGCACTAAATTATTTCGAATAAAACAATGGCTCATTTATATAGACTGAACAAATATGTTTTCCATATTTTTGAATGAAGCTTAACATGCGTTAGACAAATATACCATGAACCGGAAAAACAGCACATGTTCTTTCTCAAAATAATGTACATTGGACTGGAAACTGTGAGAACCTAACTAGACTTCCATCGACTCGTCACAGGTAGAAGATAAAACGCAGGATTTACAGATAGCGCATTTTGTTTATTTAAGTTTAATAGTATTTTATTGCCAAAAAGCAAAGGGATTGGCAAATATTAAAACAATATGTCGAGCCCCCTCCCGGGATTACACTCCACAGTAGTTGAAGCTGTCCTCTTTCATAATAAGTTTTATCTATGCTGAAAACTACTTCGATTATGTCCATTAAACTTATCTGAGTATGCACGACGACACCTGTATGTTAGGAGTACCTAAGATCTATATACAAACATTTACCATACCTATGCAGTGGGATTAAGTTTGATGTTACGAAGTATTCATGTTCACACTCATTTGCTATTTTAAACATCAAACAATAATAATAAAAAATAGCCATATTCACTTTAACAAGAGTCAGGTAACCATTATTCTTAATTTCATCTGCTGTAAATTAACGTTCACTTATTTCCAGATCACATACTATATATAAATGATTTGTCACATATACTAAAGAACAGTTTGCTAACAATAAAAGAAGATTTGAATTATATAAAATCACTGGTGATTTTTTAATGGACAATATCGCCAATCTTATTGAGAGACTGATCCATTTTGAAATTCAGAGTGTTGCAATAAAGTGACACATATAGACAGCTAACCTTTAAAAGTAACGTGTATTTGATTTGATAAAGCGTCTATATATATAGCTCATTGTTAACGTAAGAGAATGAATGAATCACTTTACTTTGACTGTCATATGATCTTGTGGTCGATAGGATACATTTCGACGCGTGCCGTGCCACATGATGTGTAGGAAATGTTTACCCATTCGGACTACTTGATATCCCTTCTGGTTTAATTTTGTGCGACACTTTGCTTTTCTTTTAGTTATGGTGTCTCCTCGGGCCATGTCGTTTCTCCCTGCATGTTGATGTTTTGTCCCTATTGCAGTAACTACATGTAAAGCAACCGATAAGTCTAAGGCTGTATGGTTCCATGTCGTTACAGAGCAGGACGAATGCAGCTCTGGAACACACTCATGTGACACCAACGCAGACTGTGTCGACACATCCGGGAGCTACACCTGCCATTGTCGCCATGGATACACTGGTGACGGATACACGTGCAGTCGTATGTATTCTTTTATATATGTTTTTGTTAAATGTAGCTGAGATTTAGTATTGGCGGGGTTTCAACTGATGTTGATTTTCCAAAGAGATGAGCACACTCTCGGATTTCCCTTGAAAATACAAATGACTCACTACTGCCAATTCTCAAAAGCATTGGGTGGGTCAGTGCAGGCGTCCCAGCAGAACACATTCTATCCTATCTGGTGGCCAATTTGGGGTTAAATAAGCTTGGTTTTTTTTAACATTTTGAATATTTGAATATTGAATACGATAGTATATCGGTCGCGAATTTCACAGCATTTCACACGTCCACAGAACTCCGTTTCTGTTTCCTTTGTAAAAAGCATCTTTTGTGGGTTCCAAATTTCCAGGGGGTGTTGTGGTTTTTAAAAAAATCGCAGGTCTGGGGGGTTTTCTGAAGCCCCAAAAATACCTCTGAATCCGCCATTTCAGCTATCATAAATGTGTGAACTTGTCCGGTTTTGTCACCGCGTCAAATATATGTTTCACGGTGTTATGTCTAATGGTATGTGACACTGAGAATAGGTATATGTTTCTTATGTATAACTTTACAGACAGCAGTCCGGGGCCAATGACATCAACCTGAAATCTAAAAAGGATACATGGTTTACTCTGATATATTAATCAATAATTCATAATTGATTATTGATAGCTAATTGCTAGTTAACTATCACATTGATGCATTGATGGTTATATGTAATCTGTTATAGAAATATATTGGTCGGTAGTTGCAGTGCAAATGATAGTAGCTTTTATTTATTTTCATTTATTCCTTTTTTCTTTTTTTCTTTTTATTATTTAATTTAATTCAATTATATTTTATACGGAGACCTGTCTATCCACATTGCGTTTCTGTAGTTATTTCATAGAAAGGTAAACAGAGGTTAGCATTTGAAAGTCATTCCTGACAAAAACAGGTTATGATACAAAATGTGAAAAAATTATAGACAATTTTTGAGATTAATATGTACAAAAATGATAAAACATTTCTAAACATCTGATTCCAACAGGCTTCAAGAATATTTACCGGTAGAAAGATGTCCTCATTTTTCATTCAGAACTAACATATCCTTTTTGCAATTTAAAATGATGCAACTTCTATGAATATAGTGAAACTGAAAACTGAATTCACCTGGAATGCAATCTCTGATATGTTGACATTTAGTCAAAATAAGGAAATTGAAAGCCATTGTGTCTTCAGAGAGGACCTCTTTGACAGAGACCAGCATGTCAAAATATACATTTTTATAGTGGGAACTGTAGTGAAATACTTGCAAAGTTTATAAAATAAACAATCCAGACGAGCAGATCTGAAACCTCACCTTTAAAGAAAAAGTACGTGGTGCTCTCCGATGTAAGTAGAGAAAACTGGTATCACATCCAAAACAAACAAAAAAAAACAAATATATGGGGAAAACATGTCTGGTATCATACTGAGATGATTTTTGGCAAAATACATAAATGATTAACGCATTTGGCAATGACTTTTAAATCATATAGATAAGCTAACTTCATCAGTGTCAACGATTTGTACAGTGACTATACACAGTTACAGAACCGTTATAAAATGAATATCAATACCTAAATACACGGTTGATAATCATTTTTTGTATATCAATATATAAGATGATAAACTCTTTCATGTAAAATAAAAATGAATGATTTTGTTTTCCCTGTAGCTGTATGTGATGGTAGCTGCCTCAATGGCGGGGCGTGTATAGCACCAAGCGTCTGTGAGTGTCGCCATGGATATATCGGCATGAACTGCGAGCTTGGTAAGTCACTTTCATTAATCTTTCTTTCAGGATAATAGTCTCAAAGCATAGTATATGATATTTTGAGTTATGTTACATATCCTAAATGTTATATAAGCAAAGCTTGGGTTCCAGTGCTAGAGTCAGTATAGTACTACACGTATAGTGCAATCTTCATCAAGGGTATAAAGAATAAGCCATATATTTGCTTAATCCTTTTTTGTTTGTTTGTGAATTTTGAATATTAAATTTGCATTTTGTTTTTAGATATTTAGGTTTAAATCACTAATTACCCTGTATACAGTATAAATACCCCTGTATACAGTTTAAATAACAATGTTTACAGTATAATATACCTGTATACAGTATAAATTACCATGTAACCTTCCATGCTTTTACAACACTGAATGTATCATTTATGTCCAGGTATATACTTTAATGGGGTGCGTGACTCTCGCGTAAAGTTATTTACGAAACACAAATAATGTACAGTTCTATATATAGTGATATGTAACATAACACATATAACTGACTTCAATACAAACCACTATAATTTGTGTAAGCGATATCTTTGTAGATGCAAAAAAAACGATATAATCTCTTACAATAATATAATGCTTCATTTGAGGTTCAATGTCCTGAAATGATATTACAAGCCATTAATTGTTATCAATATTTATATTGCCATCAGAAAGGACGTTGTACATTTTAAATATGTGTCGGACGCAGTGCTTTAGCCGTTTGTCTGATTCCTAAGACGAGGTCGCAGACAAATGTCGTGACAAAGGTCTTAGAGGATTGTATATTGTGTGCGGCGGTGAACAGGATCCAGCCTAATCACTGTCAGGATTGACCACACTACGTCTAACAGCGCTAATTGTGATTGCTTTGATGAGACATCAAAGGTAACGATGATGGCCCCGCTGGACTTCATCTGACAAGTCAGGAATCATATAAGTAATTATCCTTTCGTAGACAGCTTAGGCATTCTGCTTCGGTAAACCTCTGAGGGACAGGGTTTGTTGGGTACCGATCCACGCAAAGAACAAATAAACGGCGTCAGAAAATCACTTACGGTCAATGTAAAACTAAACATTTCAAATGTAATTTGAACCAAAATTAATAAGGTAACTATTCATTTTAGTTCATCATCATTTCACTCCATGTTACAGATATAGACGAATGCGCTATCGAGATTTCGGCGTGTAGCAAGAATAGTATTTGTGTGGACACTCCCGGCTGGTACCACTGTGACTGTATAGAGGGATTCCACAGCAGTTGGCCAGACAACCGCTATGGCAGCCTGTGTATGGGTAGGTCGCATGTTGTCTCCCCTTTAGTTTTGATACGGTTACTATGTCGAGCACTTCTTGTCGTCTATCAGAAACACCAATTCCCTCGCTGTGACACCTCATGCTGTCTCCCTTGTTGTGTCGTTATCTCACTGGGGCATACCTCTGTAACTTCCGTAATGTACGGCAGCCTTTCTATGAAATATAGGTAATCCGATACTGTCTCATTAAACATCTATTAGTTTTCTGTCCAAATAAGCAGCAAATGTAAGTTTCAGCATTTATTTCATGGTTGTGTACGAACATTTGTACGACCGACTCGACGGGATGTGTTAAACTTCTTTGTATGTTTGAATAAATAGTCGAGATATATCTTATTTGCTTTCAACTCTCTTCACGAATAATCCCTAAAATAAAATTCACAACAAATGTAATTGACATGGATTGTGTTCTATTTCTCCTCAGATATAAATGAGTGTGCAGGGGAGGGTAATGGGCACACCTGTCACCCCAGTACCAAGTGCCACAATCTGGAGGGCAGCTACGAATGTCGCTGTCAACCTGGGATGCCCTGTATTAAACGTAAATATGACAGTTAATGAAAAGTCTTAGCTATTTACTATTAATCCTTTTTTGTGTTGGTGAATTAACATCATTAAATTGATTTCGACGTTTGTATTTTATTAAAACATGATGTGATGTTTCTGAATGAGTTATTCATCCAAACACATGCAGTGTTTATTGGATTTGTTTCAGAATGTCGCGATAAAGACAGTTACCATGACGATGGCAGTATTTGGACGCCTTCTAATGACAAATGCATGGAATGCACATGCAAGGTATGGAATATTAAATACCTGTATAACAGCTGTTAAATATGTTTTAATTCGTAAAATTTCCGGACCCTTTATTATTTATATATTTAGAAAGTGCATTATCCCACTTATCCAGGAAACACATGTTCTACGTGGAACAACCATGTCAAATTACCAATTCACTACAATCTACAGTAAAAACACAGTCGGAATCTGGCTTTGGCTCACGAAAATAAACATTATTTCACAAACTTGCTATAAAGCTTTTCCATACTCCTTTACCGTTAACATATACTCTCCTATGCTGTTTTCAAATATGGTATTGGTTAACTAATACGGTATCTAGAAGCTCTTCTTTTTTCAATATCATTGTTGATTTGTCGCTGATAACAATAACAATATATCTAAGTAGGGGGTAAAGGTCAGTTCTAACCGAGGTTGTAGCATTTTGGCTGAGAACCTTGACAACGCCTAAGATCTGACTCAAATACTACACCATTGAGTAAAATTTCCCAATCACCCATACCTACATATGATAGGTCTGCAATTGGGTAAGTTATGAACTACGTACTTGTATGGAAAATATTACATCTACTTTTGTAACTATTCATTTTGTAGTTTTAAGATAGAAAATAAGATAAAGGTCAATAAATTAGTATAGGATTACTCTAAGGACTGTTGCGTTTGGTGTTGTTTATGCCAGGAAAGTTAAATACACAATCTGTTCACAAAACCAAGAAGTGTCAAAGTTAATTAGTACATTGTGTCAAACATTTATCATATTAGTAACAGATTAATGTGTATGTGTTTCTTTATTTAAACTTGAAGTTACCATTCCAAAAGTTCAATGCCCATCAAATAGCAAAAAATACGAATACTTTTTTTTTCGTACGGCTTTGAAAAGTTAGGAATTGGCATACATTTTAATAATACTTGTTTTCTGAATTGATTTTGTTGGGAATTAATTTGCAGAAGTACACATTAGTGCTTCTGTTTACATTTTCTTTGAATGATGTCTCTAACCCATGATATTGATATATTCTTTTCAGTTTTAATGATTATGAAATAATATGTTAACCTGAAGGTGAATCCTATACCTGACACTGATGCCGAGTGATGTACATATGTTACAGGTAGGGATAACGACGTGTCACAAGCGTGAGTGTGACTGCTCTAACCCACATACCGACTACGAATGCTGCCTTCACTGTGACAAGACATCTCAGTGTAGACATCAAGAGGTGCCTCTCATGTTCGACAACGGCGAGAGGTGGATCTACCAGTGCCAGACCTGCGAGTGTCTCGTACGTCACTCCTCAAACAGCCAATGTTGTCGTGTTTACCAAATCACTTTACATCAGTGTTAGCGTCTTTTAAAAACCTTCATGCTCAGGCGTTATGTATGGCAACGCTGTGGTTTTCATTACGAGTTCAACGTACATCATCGTGTCATATATATAAGTTGTACAATTTGTTTTATATCTTTTAAGTTTTATTCGGTGAAACAAATGACTAGAATTTGTCATTAAGTAAGATTAATATCATTATGTCGGGTTATATGACTGCATCCTTCCCTTTGTGCTGGATATGTCAATATCAATATCACTCAAATTAGTCCTTTGAAATTTAAATTAAATGGTATACAGTAAAAGCGAGTATTCTTTGTCTAATTTTTGTTATTTTCTGTCCTTAGGAGGGCGAAATTGATTGCTGGCCGCTTCAGTGTCCGAAGATAACGTGTCACACGACCGTTTTAGAGCCTGGCGACTGTTGTCCCCGCTGTGTTGAGGATAACCCTTGTGCTAGCCAGGCCTACGTCACAGGAGGAGCCGACAACTCTGCTACTACTTGTCTGTACAAAGGGCATGCGTACACCCATGGTGACACCTGGGCACTCGGAGCGAAGCCATGTAGCACGTGTGAATGCAGGGTAAGTTGCAGGATCTGGCAAATGAAAGAGCGTCTTACATCGTATAGAATGTCGTCTTGATCGTTATTTTGGCGTTTCCTAACATTACCGTGTCGAATTTAAGCACTATGTATGATCAAGGGTATTCCTTTTAATTCACGTATGTCTTTGTATCTATAAACGCGCATTATCATGAAAAATAGAAGTAGTTTAAGATTGGAATTGGTTGATAGGCAAAACAGTCACTTCATATAATTAATGGTAAAGAAATTTCGCAATACAAAGATTGCATGAATATACGACGGCTCATTTTCCTACATATGAATACACAGTTAACAAGTTAAATACCAGATGATTTAGTCAATTAGCGAATTCGGTCAAGCACAATTACAATATTAAATATTTTCTACAAATAAGGTTCGAAATTTTTCCCTTTAGTTTTGGTGTTTCGAGAGTACATATTGTGTCCTTATTGACGATGTAATGCAAAATGAACACAGATTTTTTTTTTATACAAGTGGTTGATGTTTTCAAGATATGCATAAACACTTTACAAATGAAACAGACAAAAAAGAATCGCAACAAAGCTAAGAAATCTGCATCTGTTGTAATCCTTCTAATATCTTATTCTAAGTTTCATTTATTTCAGGTCGGCCATATCTGCTGTTTATATAATCAGAACTGTACGGCCATACCTGATTGAGGAAACATGGATTTCTATGTCATACATGTATTAATGTCTGATTAGCATTAATCTTCAGAGCTCAACACAAACACCGTCAGTGAGTTCGCCATGTGTATTCGGGTCTCCCGCCCGGATGTAGAGCACGTGTGTACTACATGTTACATAACATATAAATCAACATACGGAGTAAGGGAGGTAACTCCAAGATACAGATGCAATACATATTTAGACGCTTATTGCCTTATTTACATGAAAGTCTTTTTATTTACATGAACCGTTTACACATTGTAGTATACACATTTATATAACAACATTACATCCAGCAGTGGTTGGTTTCTCAGTTTCTAATATAGCAATATTTACATCATTTTATTACACTTACCGAGTCGTTTCTGGAAACAAAAAGGAATGTTAACATTTGAAAAATAAATCCTCTATCTCCACTTACAATAGTAACCATGTTAATATTTTTATATTCAAACTTAATAAATGTTTCCGTATTTAATTCGGGACGACTCTATCATTAAATTTAAAAGATGTAAGAATTGTGAAATTGGAAAACATATTACGTTCGACTTAAAAACATATCACCACATTAAGTTGGCTGTAATGAAGCTGTGTTATACAGGAAGATCTGATCGATGTGCAGCACTGCTTAGAGTGATTCCGTTATGATGAGCCTTCAATGGCGCGTGGATTCACCAGTATGTTAATGCCAGAAATGGACAATGTATACCTGCCATTTTTGCGATTGCAAGCAATAGTGTCCACTCGCATAATCTAAGATATAATATTACGTCTAATCTTTGTTTTACGTAACCAAGACATCCACCCGCCCACACACATCACAGGTTTTTAGTATAAATAGCCTGAGCATTGCCTTTTTGCATTTGATAATAAAGGATGGATTTTTTGCATGTTTGTCACATTTGTACTTAAAGGGAGGCAACTCGTAATGGGAATGTGATTTTTTCCTCATTGCATTTTTAAAAAATATACTAAATTTGGAATTGCACATTTAATTGTTGTAAGTATTATTGTATCATCTTTCATAAATTTAGCTGTTGTAAAATGTTTCTGTCATTGATTATTGTTATTATAAAATGTATGCCTGAACAATACTGGAAGAAATGCTGTGTTCCTGATTTCTAGGAACAGATTTTATAATTTCTAAGTTTTTTGAACAAACTCACTCTTAACTTTAACTTGGGGAGATCCTGAAGTTTAGACTTTCCCTAAACGAGCATTCACTGAAATAAAGGAGAGTTTCGCTAATTTCAGTCTTTTCCTCGATTCCGGTAGTATTGTCCAATGGGATAACACAAAGTACATACAATAGTAAGTTTAATACCAGTAAAGTACAAACTACAAAACATTTATTAATAGTTAAGTACACACTTTTTCGTCAATAATATCTGAAATAATACTGCTAGTCGTAAATCTGTGGTTAAGGAGCGCATCCGTTGTATCTTTCAATGTGTACCTATTATCCGTTACACATATTTGTGAGCGCTATTTGATCATGTATATATTTATGTTCGGTCACATTTACATGGTACTACACCACTGTAACAGGTCGTTGTTGGATGGAAATTGATGTCAGGACCAATGAATTATTACTGTGTATTTATAGCATTGTCATAATAGTTATGTTTTAAATAGCAAATATATTGTTGCTACTTTGAGCTCCTCAATAAGTGTTGTGATTTTAATGCCTACAGGCATAATATTTGGTAAAACTATTTATTCCAAACAATGTATAATGTTATGTTATGATATTACCATCTGATCATTTTATGTTAACCTGTAGTGTATGCTGTGTTACACAGTGTGGCACGTCTGTACACTTCGTAGTTTTTATTGTGCGCCACAGTGTGGCACGTCTGTACACTTTTACCTGTAGTTTATATTGTGCGTCACAGTGTGGCACGTCTGTACACTTTTACCTGTAGTTTTTATTGTGTGTCACAGTGTGGCACGTCTGTACACTTTTACCTGTAGTTTATACTGTGCGTCACAGTGTGGCACGTCTGTACACTTTTACCTGTAGTTTATACTGTGCGTCACAGTGTGGCACGTCTGTACACTTTTACTTGTATTTTATACTGTGCGTCACAGTGTGGCACGTCTGTACACTTTTACTTGTATTTTATACTGTGCGTCACAGTGTGGCACGTCTGTACACTTTTACTTGTAGTTTATATTGAGTGTCACAGTGTGGCACGTCTGTACACTTTTACTTGTAGTTTATACTGTGCGTCACAGTGTGGCACGTCTGTACACTTTTACCTGTAGTTTATATTGTGTGTCACAGTGTGGCACGTCTGTAAACTTTTACCTGTAGTTTATATTGTGTTTCGTTGTCACGTTCTATGACTGCCATTTTCACATAGGTACGTAGATAGCAAGCAAGGTAATATTTGTATAGTCAGGGTTTTTTCCAGGCTGTATTGAAATCAATGTATACATTAACGATGAGTAAATAGTTGTGTACCTGATAAAAATGGATCACACGGGTTCTCGCCAGTGATCAAACAAACTAACAATTGTTAAACATATGAAAGGTTTAAAACATGTCAAATATTTATGATATATTATGCATTGACATGGTAAAGTATTGAACAAATACAATTGCAAAGTATTGTAAAAGCGAAGTATCTGCTTCTTGAATATCTTGATTATATACTTCCATAAGGTGTATACATATATAAGGAATATACTTGAATGGTAAAGTTTAGCTGGTATCCGTCATCATCTAAGATGAATTAAAAGTTAAACAAGAGGTCTGAGGTCTTACGTAACACGGATATGGTTAGATTAATGTTAAGATTTCTCTGATATTTAAAACGATTAAATAGGAATACAATGGATGTGAATAAGGTATACCCTTTGTGTTCTTATAGTGTAGTCTCGTGAGGTATTATCTAACTCGTACTCGACAGACAGGGTATTTTTTTATAGTTAAATCGTTATTACAGGGTACTGTGTATTATTAGTTGGTGTTGATATACTTACGATCCTACAGCTGCTATAGACTGACAACATCCACTGGGTTAATTATTTGTAGATACACCAAAAACGTTTTGGAACACTTTCAATTTATTTAGACATGTTAAATATGTATACATATATGATAATATGGAACTTTTCTCTGACTAGTGATGGATGTGGTGCGTCCATCGCACAAATATCATTTTTAAAACTAAATAGTTACTTATAAGCAGAAAGTAATCTTTATAAATGAATCCTCCTGAGTACATAATTCCCTTACTGGTATATATAAAACAGACAGGGTGTATGTATTTATAGACATTGCGTAGTTACATTGAACGTTTAGTTATTCTTTTCATCGATAATTTACAAGTCGGCATTTCGTCCATATTCTGGTAGCACGTCGTAGGAGCTAGTTGGAGGTAACCCAAAAAATGTCATCTCAGAAACCCTTTAGAGGTTTGAGAGCTTGTTTAACACCGCTTTTTACATTCTTTGTCTTTAGTCATATCTATCCAAATCGACAGGCCTGTACCACAGCATGCCATACCAGCATATCGCAGGTATTATACATATCGATTGTATAGTACCGTTATTAAAACACCGATCCATCACGTTCACATTGATCTATAAACTCATTGTTTGTTGTGATCGCCTATTGTTACGTGATAAAAGTATGCTGTTCTTATTGAATTAACACATATCGCAACGCCAACGCCGGTAGCACTGGCATGCTCAGAAATTAGCATATCAAATCGCTATCCTGTGCCTATATTGAATTAGGTTTCATTTAAGAAGTGTTTAATTTGTCTAACCTTTTTCATGTAATTCAATGCAATCATGCATTGTATGCAATTCCCGTACAGAACAGGGTTTATAAGATTCTACTATTATATAGTTTTAACTAGTATGTCCGAGTGTTGTGTCTTTACTCACACGGTAAAGTGTTACCTTGGTGATATGTTACAGTACAGTAAATGTTGTAGTATAAGTATGTTTGAGTGTTGTATCTTTACTAATACCGTACATTGACAGTGGTGTTGTATTAAATATTGTTAGTGTATTTCTTGTTCTTCAAGGGAAGAATCTTTCGATACAATTCCTCTAATTTAACTTTGTTGTAAATTTATTTTTGTCCTATTATTTATCATATTTATGGTATTGCTCCTATATAATCACATATATCCGGTAAGTGTGCATATAACATGAGAGACGTAATAATAACAGTGCTAACAGCATATTACCGTTCTTATGAAATCGGCATATTTTGCGACGCAAACTATATTGTTCGCTCTGTCGCCATTACTTCTCATCAATAGTTTTAGGTTAAAAGCATCCAATAGTTATTTTGTTAAAATAGTCCAGTTCCTATCTTGGATAGTAATATCATTATTACTAATACGATACATATATATATATATATATATATTATATAAAGAAAAATTCTTAACAACGAGTCTTTAGTACTTTCATCTCTTCTAGGAGATTCTTCAGAGTCTGAAGAATCTCCTAGAAGAGATGAAAGTACTAAAGACACCTTGTTAAGAATTTTTCTTTATATAATATTTATTCGTCCGTAAGGACCATTTTTCTGATTTATAATATATATATATATATATACAGTGTAATCATTTTGTATTTTGTCTTTTCAGGTGATGCATGATGTGTATTTAAATGTGTATTTGTGGTTATTGCACGCTATTTATATATGTTACAGGAAGTTGATAAACATGCATCAGCTGTGGTCATTTAGAACCTTAAAAGTGAAATTTTCTAGTGAGTGTTTACATTTTTTATATCAATACTGTAGTTAGTAACAATATACGATCCCTCAAACGGCGTCATCTCGCCTATCACAATAGTACACAAGAAATCCATTCGGTTTAATCTCATCTGAGCCCGTTTTGTCCTTTAATAACGAAAGTTTCCATAACGACCTGCATTTCAATTATTCATCAGAGCTTGACTTTAAAGACCTTTCTTCGTCATATCTTTTCACTTTTCACTAAGTTCACTTTTGGTATTACTATTATGTTCTCCTCATTACTAAACTCCATAACGTCATGACGACTTTAATTTCAACACGTTTCTTTCCTCCTTAGTAAAACGTAAAACAGACTACCCTTCTTTTGGAGTGTGCATATCCAAGCTGACTCGCTACTCCATGGCTTGTTCGTAATATCGGGATGTTCTGGATCAAAGCGTCATGTGGACCAATACGTTACTTGACCAGGGTTTTCTACAAGAATGGCTTCATTCTACGCTGCAGCGAATTGTACGATCGTCGTCATTAAACTGGTTTCTAACTTGAGACTTCAGTGCTTATCAATGTCGTAACTCTTAGGTGACTTTTTGGTTCCTTTCCTGGATTTAACAGATGACAGAACACTTAGTTTCGCCTCAAGGGTATAAGAGAAATACTTTAAAGTGGGGTGAAATAACATAGAAACTGTTAATGTTCATTTGATTTAGTTCAGTCTT